TCGAACATATTTAGATCAAACTTAGCTCACTATCAAACTCTTAAGACATAGGGGGTAAACATATAATTTTGGCAAAAATGTTCGTGAAATGTGTTTCAATTCTAATTAAAACAATTGGGCTTAAGTCTATCCAATGCTTAGGGGTCCTAATTGATAGCATATTGATCTCTCAATTCATGCCCCTAACTCTTGAATCATTTAAGCTCTTACTTTCTCGCAATTACAATTTTATCCTTCTTATGTAAAAGAAATGGTGAATAGTTTGCTACCCTATTTCCTCTTTAGGTTTAATCATCTCAACAGATTAAATATCATTTTTTTTTAATTCCCTTCCCTTTTTTTATTTTATTTTATTTTTTAAGACCGTAAATTAATCTTGAAAATAATTAAATCAGAAATTCTCATTTTTAACTTAACCGTTGTAAAAAATCAACGAAAAGGAAGACCGACCCACTTCTAAAAAATAAATCAGCTAAGCAAGGGGCAAAACCGCAAGTGAATCGGCCTAAAAACGATTAAATTCTTTCAGAACAAAGATCAAATCAACTCCAAAAATGTGCGTAAATGCCTCCAAAAATCAGCACTTGAAATGCACAAATCGATGTATAAAAGCCTCAAAATGCAACTTAAACCTTAACGAATAAGGCCTCAAAATGAAACTTAAACTGTAACGAATAAAGCTTCAAAATGCAATTTAAACCTCACTAAAGAGGGCCTCAAGTGCAGCCCAATTATGCTTCAAAACAATGCTCCAAAGCAGCACTGAAGTGTTTCAAAACCTTGTATTAATCTCTTCCAATTCAGCCTAAGTTCAACATGAATCCACGCATAAGCTCTAACCGGTGCAATATCAACACTTACTATTGATCAAATGTTGCATAACATATATGTATCCAAAGCTTATCCATATCAAACAACAAAAGACGTGATTGAGTTTTCCAAGTGCACTCATTTGAAATATGATTTAAGGGCAAACACTAAAATTCATTGCACAACAAATGGAGGAAGCCATTGAAATGAATTTGTTTCTTGTAAGTATAAAAAGATAAAACTTCAATGTCAAATATTGCTAACAAATAGGAATTCAATGGCCCTCGAACTCCTGCAAAAACAAAACTTGTATTTCTTCCAAAAATCAGCGAGATGGGGAGCGAAGAAAAGCTTCTGAACCTATTCCAAGCCAACAATAGTGGATATCAAGTAGCATTTCATAGGCGTCTCTTTCATAACTTAAGAAAGGAAAAGCAAACAAGTGAAAAATGGCCACCACCATACCACACATGCTCAACATTTCATATTTAAGAGACCAAACTTTCCAAATAGAACACGAAAAATTTCAGATTTTTGCAAATGTAAAGCTTTGAGATTCTCCAAAATTTTCAAATAGAACATCTAAAGCCTTTAGATTTAGCAAATGGACCACGCAAATGTTTCAAATTTTGCAAATACGCCACTCAAAGATTTCAGATTTTGCAAAAGTGCCACCCAAACATTTCAGATTTTGCAAAAGAACAA